CAAAAAAAAAAATAAAAATAAAATAGACTGGTTTAAAATGTTATAATGTATAATCAATTTTTAATTTCAAGGATAACCCTTAATTATATCATTAAAATTACATTTTTATATACATCTCATGGTTCATGCTCTTCATTTTACTTTGAGTTTTGAACTCTTGACTCATTATTAAAAATAGATGGCAGGTTTGTTCACTGTTTGATATATACTAGCTCTAATGAACAGAATTATTAGGAAGTAATGTGTAATTATATCATTTTATCATTTTATTCTCTATTGAAGAAGTCTACTTTTATGAGCATTTTTGCTAACTTTTTTGCTGTTTTGTTCCTATTTCCTATTTTGAGATAGTACTCTTATATTTGAAAGATATGGGTCCTATTGGAAATTTTTTTAAATTTTTTTAAAAATTCTCACCTATACCTGTAGATGTATATTTTTCTTCTAGATGTATGATATTTTTATATTATATTAATTTTCCTAAATTATAGTCTTTTAATTGTAGATAACAGATCATCAGAACTTCCTGAAGTTGTTCAAGAAGAATTTGAAAACAGCAAAGTGGAAAACAAAGAGAATTGACAGCAGATACAAAGGACGACATGGAAGTAAGTACAACAGAGAAAAAGATGAGAAGAGGATATCGAGTACAAATTTGAGTTCAGAAAATAGATTTGAATTAAAGTATGAGTTAAGAAGGATATTTAAATTTCTCAGCAGTGAAAGGAATCTATGTTCTAAGCATTAAAAAAAATATGTGTTTAGAAGGAGTTTTCTTACTTAATTTTAAGATCTTTCAGGGGATTTAAGTGAAAAGAAAGGAAAGATACTGGATGTATATTTTAGATGTCTCACTTCCGTGAAAATGACTTCAAATAACTATTGGAGTATTTGTTATAAATCAACTATAGGTAGAAATGAAACGCCTAATTTAAACAGTGGATTGGTTGATGTTTAAGGATTAATTTTAGAACCCTTAAAAATGGCAATTAGTAAATAAAGCAGGAGGTATCACACTTTCAAACATCAAACTTTATTATAAGGCTACAGTAATCAAAATAGCCTGGTGTCAGTACAAGAACAGACATATAGACCAATGGAACAAGATAGAGATTCCAGAAGCAAAGCCTCAATTTCTCAACCAACTCTTCTTTGACAAAGCCTCCAACAACAGTCACTGGGGAGAGGAAAACCTATTCAGTAAATGGTGCTGGGAAAACTGGCTGATCACATGCAGAAGATTGAAACAGGACCCTACTATCACCCTACTCAAAAATTAACTCTAAATGGATCAAAGACCTAAACGTAAAACCTCAAATTGTGAGAATCTTAGAAAATACAGGAGATACCCTTATGGAAATTGGAACTGGCAACCAATTCCTGATCAGAACCCTAAGTGCCCATACCATAAGATGTAAGACAGACAAATGGGACCTCATCAAACGAACTTCTGCAAAGCAAAAGAAGTCACCAAGAGAGCAGGGAGACAGCACACAGAATGGGAAAAATATTTGCCAACTGTATATCTGACAAAGGCCTGACATCTAGGATCTACAAGGAACTCAAACATGCTGAAAGGAAAAAACACACACCAAACAGTGGGCAAAAGACATGAATAGACACTTCTCAAAAGAAGATATACGGGCAGCCAACAGACACATGAAAAAGTGCTCAGCCTTACTCATCATCAGAGAAATGAAAATCAAAACCACATTGAGATACCACCTAACCCCAGTAAGAATGGCCATCATTAATTAAAAAAAAAAAAAAAAAAGACAGATGTGGCGAGGATGCAGAGAGAAAGGAATGCTTCTACACTGCTGGTGGGAATGCAAACTAGTGCAGTCTCTTTGGAAGACAGGCAATTTCTGAAAGAACTAGAAATTGACCTTCCATATGACCCAGCAATTCCCCTATTGGGAATATACCCGGAGGAACTCAAATAATTCTATAAAAAAGATACCTGCACACGTATGTTTGTTGCTATTCACAATAGCAAAAAAACGGAACCAACCATGCTGCCCATCGAAGCTGGACTGGATTTTTAAAATGTGGTACATATATACAGTGGAATATTATGCATCCATAAAGAAGGACAAACATGGGCTTCACAGCAACTTGGATGGATTTAGAGTTGATCATACTCAGTGATCTGTCACAGAAACAGCAGAGTACCATATGTTGTCACTCATAAGCAGACCTTGAACAATTATCATAATACTATAAGAAAGGGATTGGCAGTAGTGGGAAACTGTCAGGCTGTTGAGGGAAACTTCTCGGGGAGGGAGGTGCATACCTCATCCACAAGGGTACCTGCTTAATCAACGTTTGTATACCTAATCCTGAATTGTACCTCATGTCTTTATAATTTTAAAAAAATTACAGAATACTATTTTAACACTAGAAAAAAAAAATGACAATTTAATATACTCCAATAAATTATCTATGAAATTTCAGACACCAAGTTCAGCATTTTCTAGATGTCTTTGATATCTCTTTTGCAATGATCAAAAATCAATAGTATTGTCCAATTAATATTATTTATGTTATCTTTCTCAAATTTGTATTAGAAGGAAATAAAATATTAACAAAATCGGTGGATGTAAATAATGACTTAACTTTTTCTTTTTGTAGACTTTGCTTCATGAATTCATTTAACAAGTTTATTCAACAAAACTTGACTGAACACCTACTCTGTGCCAGACATTATCCTAGGCACCAACACAACAGTGAAGAAAACACACAAAATCACCTGCTCATGTGCAAGTATAGCTGATGATGTCTTCCAGCCTCAATGTATTTAGAGTTGGGATTTCTTTTGTCATAATGTGTTTTTTTTACAAGTCAATAGTAGACTCTGTACCAGAACTGAGTCCTCAGAAATATTTCAGTACATTGCAACCAGGAAAAGCCTCTTTAGCTTATTTTTGTCAAACTGGTAAGTATTTTAAAATTTTTTACCTGATTCTTATAATGTTTGTATTATGATTTAATAAGTTTAGAGGGAGCTTATTGTCAGGATTAATATGTTCTATAAAGCTGTAACTATAATATGCTTGTCTGGGTTTGAATCAAAAGTCTGTCACTTGGCCTGTGGTGACTTAGCTCCTCTGTGTGTCTCCTTAATCATCTGTTAAGAGGAAATAGTCCTTTACAAGTTTGTTGTGAGGATTAAATGAACTAATTTATATACTTAGCCCATAGTAAATACTATAGGAGAATTAGCTACTGATATAGCATCTGAATTTCATCTAGTCATTTATGAAATTATGCTTTCTCATGCTTTTAGCAGGTGTTTTGAAAGTTTTAAAAAACTTTAAGTGTATTAGTAATACTTTAGTTTAGTACTCTGCTATAACTGTATTATAACTTATACTGAATTAACTAATACAACTATTGGACATAACTGATAATTATAATGGTCTTAAGTCTTCATGCTTTAAAAATAAATACTATTCTTGTAATTACTGAGAAATCACAAGAATCACAAGAAGTGAATCTGCATTTCTGTTGGCTTCTATATTATAATTGTGATTTGAAAATAGTATTTTAAAATCATTTAGAAGTTTTTGTTTAGGTACATGTATGTTGTATGTATGGTATTAACTTGGAGGCATAATGCCAAATGTTAGGTTTAAATGAAGCATTTATTTATCATATTCTTTTTTTGGGAAACTTTTAAAGTTACTTCCAAAGCGAGAATATGGCATAATAAAAACATTAGAAATCAGAATAATGAGGCAATAGGAAAATAAGGGTATGAAAATATGTCACTAGCTGTGTTTAGTTGCTTAATTTTTTGTTGTCATTGCAGACTAGTTGGACAAATAGTTTCTTTTGTGTTTGCAGATTTTGACTGTAAATTTAAGAATTCATCTTTTTAAAGAGACAGTACATAAACATTCATAAAACATTTTTTATTTTAGATTCTCCAAGTACATCTGTATTTCTTCAAGAACTGAGTGAGGCTGTTAGACCTCTCCAGGAATATGGGATTTCAGTTGCAAAGGTAGAAAAATATTTATGTTAGTAAAATATTGGTGACAAACATTTTACCACTTTATGACTAAGACTGAGTATCTTGAAATACTCTTGCTTCATATCTTTTTTCAAACTGGAAAATTATTCCCCATAAGAATAAACAGAAGCATGGAGCAATAGTCATATAACTACATATAGAGAAAGAAGGCTATTTAAAACTTTTTAGCTTATAATTTATTTGTAAGCCATTATATTGGGCTTATGGTGTCATTTTCAAACCTATAGTTAGATTGTTTTATTTGTCTGATAAATATTTCATAATAGGTCACCACAATTCAACTACTTATTACATTTTTATTAGCACAGACTGAAGTAACAAAATCGAAGTTATTGGATAATTGTTTTTTCTATTTTTCTAAGTCTTCATAGTTGCTTATGTTTCAGTGTCTCACATTTATTTTTAGAACAAAGTTACAACAACTCAACTTGAAATGTTCAAACTTGCTGTGGAAGATCATAAAAATTTTCCACATGCACCATGGATTAGATAGCTGTGTATGCCTTTCATTTAAATTAAACTTAGAATTTATATATAAGAAAACTGAATGAGAAGTAACCCAGTGGCATCAAATTCTTTGTGCTTCATGTCTCCCTGACTTTCTGTGTACATTTATTCTTAGTTCATTAGTCTTCCTTCTCAAAGAGATGGCTGTTCTACCACTGGGTCTCTGCAGCTAGAGTTCCCAGGGCAGGGAGTATAGAAAGGTTAACCTCTGCTGCATACCTTTAAAAATGATGTTTTTTGAAATGTGTCAATTCTGTATGTACAGAAGTCTCAGTTAACTTTGAACCACCGATCACACTCTAGAATGATAATGCTCCTCGTCTCCAAGGATCTTTGAATAAAATGTTAAACTGAAATTTAGACGTGAAATAGCAGGTTGGCATGAAACTCAAAAGGATAATCGTGGTGCTTATGTAGTAACTGGTAGATTAGTCACTGTGTCTCTCGTAACTGGAGTAGAATATTAAGAATGTTAAGATTTGTGCCCAGGCTGTTGCCTTTATTAACAAACATAACTGAAACTCTTGATTTTACTGTTGAGGATGCTAAGCTATCTGAAAGGATAAAACGGTGACTAAGATAGAGCCATGTTGTGTATATAGCTCAGTCCCTGGCACATAGTAGATACTCAGTAAGTGTGAGACTGATATGAGCTTACCACATTTAGTCCCTTTTGGATAGAGAGATGACAGACTTGGTCCTTTTTTTTAGAGAGTTTATATTCTAAATAGGGAGGTAAAACACACTCACTAGTCTTTTTATTTTATTGTATATATTTATTTTTTGAGACAGGCTCTCACTCTGTCGCCCGGGCTAGAGTGCAGTGGTACGATCCTGGCTCACTTTTGCCTCAACTTCCTAGGCTCAAGCAATTGTCCCACCTCAGCCTCCCTAGCAGCTGAGACTATAGGCTCATGCCACAAGCCCAGCTAATTTTTGTATTTTGTACAAAAAGGTCTCACTACCTTTTTCTTTTTTTGTAGTGACAAGATCTCCCGACATCGACCAGGCTGGTCTTGAACTCCTGGTCACAAGCAATCCTTCTGCCTTGGTCTCCCAAGTATGACATGAGTCATCACGCTCAGACTATGAGTCATTTTAGTAATTAGCAGAACCTGATCATTACGATAGGAGAGAACAAATAAAGTGCTCTAGAGGTTAAAAGGCAAGAAAGCCTATGTTTGATTGTTGAGGTTGAAAGTCTGGGAGGGTATTGGGAAAGACTTCACAAAAACTAGCATTAGGATTGTCTTCAGAAGTTACGATTGCAAGAGGTAGAGGTGGTTGAAGAAAACACTGAAATATAAATGGACTAAACGGTCTGTTAAGACCAAGATTGTTAAGCTGATACAATATCCCAATTCAACTGTTGGCTACTTAGAAATGCATCTAAGATAAAGGCTTCAGAAATCTTTGAAATGAAGGAAAAAGATGTACAAGAAATAGCCAAAGAAAATCTGGTATAGCTGTGTTACTACGTATAGTGACTTTAAATCAAAACCTTTTGAGTCTTCCTCGACTTTCCTTCCTCTCATAATCAGTCCATCTGCTCCTTGGTTTTACTGTGAACCTTATCTTCGGCCACTTCCTGCACCTTCCCTTTTACTCTTTGTTATAATCCCTTCTCATCTGGAAAACCACAGTAGCCTCCTGACAGCTGGCCTTTCTCTCATCGCTCTTGTCCCACGACAGCCTCTCCTCCATTTGTGGTCAGACGTGTCAGAGCACATTCCTGCCCTGCTCAGAAAAGCTTCCCATTGCAGTCATGATAAAACCAAAACTCCTGAGTACTTGGACACTGGCTTCATCTCTGATCTCATTTTCTTTTTTCTTTTGAGTCAAGGTCTCACTCTGTCCCCCAGGTTGGAGTGCAGTGGCATGATCACAGTTCATGGGCCGAAGGAATCCATTTCTCTCATCCTCCCGAGTAGCTGAGACTACAGGTGTGCATCACCATGCCTGGCTAACTTTTTGATTTTTTTTTTTTTTTGTAGAGATGAGGTCTCACTATGTTGCCTAGTCTGGTCTCGACCTCCTGGGCTCAAGCAAACCTCCCGCTTCGGCCTCCTAAGGTGCTGGGATTATAGATGTGAGCCACATCACTTGGCTCTGAGCTCATTTTCTGATCTTCTGCCTCGTTCAGTTTGTTCCTGATAAATAATGGTCATCTTTCTGTTACTTGAGCATGCTAGAGGTACTGTTGCCACAGGGCCTTTACAGGTATTTTCTTCTCTGCTGTCATCTCTTTCATTTATTTCATTCATATGTATTACTTCAGTCCTTTGTGCAAATGTCACCTCCTCAGAGAAGCCTTCCTTGATTACCTATCTAAAATGCCCTATCACATGCTATCCCCATAACAATTTTTGATTATACCATTTAATATTACATATTAATTAATTTTTTAAAATTATCACTACTTTTAGAATATAAGTTCTAAAGATAAATATTTTTATTTGGAACTTTACTCCCAGTGGCTAGAATAGTGACTGACATATGGAAAGTGTCCAGATATGTGTTGAATGAATGAATGGACAGAACTGTCGTCATATTGTCAGCCATCTTTGTACTTAAAAAAAATTTTTTTTAATTACATATACTAAAATGTACTTGCTGGTTATGGCTATACTTGGGCTTTTAATTCTCATTCTCTATTCCTGATGTCTTTCCTGAGTGTCAGTTCGTTTTTTGTTGTATCACATGTTGCTTCCTCAATGTCATCCTTCTTTCTCAAACTCTGTTAAAATCAAATTGAACAACAAGAAATCCCCTTCCTAAACAGACACAGCTATACCAAATCCAAAACAAAATAACTGCTCTTCTGTCCTTGGTTTGGGTTAGTTTACGTTGGCGGCAGCTCACTTGCCCCATCCTGAATGCCGTCACTGCCCTTCTCCTCTCTCCCTCTCTCCCACACTGCCTCTACAAGCTCAGTCTTCTCTGTTTTTTGTATATTTGTGAAAAGTCCTTTCTGTCTTTGCCCCAGGTCCCGGCCGTCCTTGACCTGTAAGTAGGTGATGTTCTTTTAACCTACCTCCTTATCTTTGTGCTCCTTTGCCTTCTGTTTGATCTTCACGTTGCTGCCAGGATTGCCCATAGGATTTTTTCACATAGAGCCCAGACTCTGAGCTAGCCATGACTTGTGTGACTGCTTGGCGACATCAGGGACTAGATTCATTGCTTCTGTTGCAGCGTCCTTAGCAAGTGGCTTCTTTAAAGATGCCTTAGGGTCCAGGATTGCTGCTGGGACTGTGCTGTCTTGTCTGTTGTGGTCAAGAGGAAGTGCGAAGAGTGAGAGTGTGGGTCAGCCTCCTTTTAGGGTCCTTCTAGGAATTCCAACTGAGTGACTTCTCCTAATGCTGCTGGGAATGCTGGGGAAGCCTTTACTGGGGACACCTGCTTTTAGCAAAGTTACATTAGTAAATAAAAGAGGACGGATTTTGGCTCGAGAGTCAGCGGTCTCTGCCATCCCTGTGCTCTACCGGCTGAGATACTTCTTGTGCTCATGCTTTTTGTCTTGTCTTAAATGTGTCCTTCCTTTTCTAACTAGTTACCTCCTACTTTTAACATAAGAAGGAGTTGAATATCAACTTATTACGTGTAATTAAGTATTACTCTTAGATGCAGAAACAGTGCACCTAAGAATTTCTCTGTTATCTCACACGCTTGAATAAGTGAGCAATTACAGCATACAAATCAGAAAAAAGTAAAATACAAAATTTGACCTAGAGACAAGCTGTAATGCTTAATTTTCCTTCTTGTTTCTCTAACTAAGAAATTTGACCTTTTGATATATATATATATAAAACCTTAAATATAATCCCTAAAGGTTAATTGTGTCAAAGAAGAGACATCTAGATACTGTGGAAGAGGACAGGATTTGATGAAAGCATATTTATTCAGGTAAGCTATATTTTTGAGTACGATGGACAAGTATAAAGATCTATTCCTAGAATATTCAGGCATATCAGGTATCATTGAACCAGAATGAGGTTGTATGTAGTGGGAATGAAGCTTAACAAAATGTTCAGGCTATAGATTTGTTACCTAAACTTTCTGTACTTTAACTTCCTTATTTATAAAGTAAGGAGAGGGATACTCATCTCACAAGGTTGTTACATGAGACTCAACGTAAACTACTACAAATGCCTGGTAAGTAAGCAAATTGAGTGTTCTGGATAGGCATGTCGGGTCCATACTTGCATATGAAATTAGCATACCTTATTTTTGAGGAATCTGTCATTGTGCAAATTAAAGATTCCTCTGCACTTGGGTTTACTAATCTTTCTGAGGTTTCTCAGATCCTTTCCTCAAGCCCTTGTCATTTGGCAAAGGAAGTGGGGAGAGATCCTGTTTCCTCAGAGGTCTACTTGCTGAGGACACTTACTTTTCTCTCCTATTTCTCTTTTTTCCACCCCAATTTGGGGATTTTGTGTGTGTGTGATGGACAGGTTGGTAGGAAGCCTGTTTGAACTCCTGTTTTTTCTAGTCTTTTTGCCAGTTCTGGAGCTTAAGCTTTTTAAAGTCAATGTATTTATTGAGTGTGTATTCAATAGATATTTGAGGTGTATGGGGTATGTGGATAAGACACAGGCTCTAACATAAAATAATTTTTAACCTACTGTATTAGATAGACAGGTAAATTGAATTCAAGGAAATATGTCTGTAATGTGTTTTTGAACTTTTTATAGGGGCAACATATTGCTCAGAGAATTCCCTACTGACACCTTGTTTGATGTGAATGCCATTGTCGCTCATGTGCTCTTGTAAGTACAGGGGATACCTTATTTACTTGCTATTTGTCTATTGGTTTTATTTTACATAACCACAATGCACTAAAATATTTTAGCGTTTTAGCATTATATTTGTAGGCATTAATTTCATACAGATTAATTTTAATGTGTCTTTCCACATGGAGGATCTGAAATTTCTTTAATGGCAAAGGATACAGAATCATGTAGATACTTTTATAAAAGTAGGAGATAATAAGACCACATAGAGTGAGGTTCACTACAGGTAGAATAAGGATTTTGCCAGATGTCTTAGTGTGTTTGGGCTGTTATAAGAAAATACTACAGACATGCCAGCTTATAAGCAACAGAAATTTATTTTTCATAGTTCTGGAGACTGGGAAGTTCAAGGTCAAGGTGCTGGCAGATTTGGTGTCAGGTGAGGGCCCCTGGTTCATAGATAACCATCTTTTTCCTGTGTCCTCTCATGGCAGGATGGGCGAGTGAACTCTCCGATGGTCTTTTTTATAAGAACATCTATATCACTCCTGAGGGCTCTGCTTTCATGACACCTAATCCCTTCCCAAAGGCCTAGTATCATTTCATTGAGAGTTGGGATTTCAACATACGAGTTTTTGGACACAAACATTCAGACCACAGCATCAGGCCAGAAGCTCATCTTTGCTATTATTACTGGGATTTTCTTTTTTTTGAGTTGGAGTCTCACTCTCGCCCAGACTG